AGTGTAGGAGGATGACATACTTTTCACGTCTGCGTACCCCGTACTACATCAGCGCCCACGAGCGACACTTCACCCAACGTTTAGGTGATCGTACTGCTACACCATCTTTGCTGTATATCGATCTTCCAGGTACTGGAATGTGTACGGCGGTGGTCCATCATACGAGACTCCGGCCAACTTTGACGATTTCCGCTCATTCGGAGGATGGACCGCACCTTTAGTGAAACAGTTCGCTCAAGTGGAAGCCGTCTGTGGAATCACTGTGAACAGGTACGGAGGAGCTTCCCATAGAGTTCAGAAAAATTCTGCCCTGAGGTGAAACGAACTCAGAAGTTAAGCGATTGTACCAAATTCAGGGACGTGTACAGTACATCGTCTACAATGAATGCTGTTGCTGCTTCGACCAAGACAGAGAAATCTGAACAAATCACCGTCGGCGGTCTGGGACTTGGAAGTGCAGCGGCATTCAGTGGAATACCAGAAATCAAAGCATGATCTACTTGTATACAGACATAATAAATCTATAATATTTTGAAAAGTTGCTCACAATCAGTAGAGTCCAGAGCCACTCGTTCCCCCCTCTCCCTCCTCCCGACCCCGCCTCCTCCGCTTGCTGAAGAACTCGATCTACCTCGAAATGTGACGGGTATTTCATTCCGTAAGGATTCCTGTGCTTTAGGTCAACTGCAATCGTCATCGTGCTAAAGTCATGCGCGAAAGATGTTCATCTTTGCTCTCACAATATTTCCCGATGACCAGTTCTTGATAGCTTATCAGCGCTTCATATTACTGAAAATCCTCTATCAGTAGAGCGAGTAACGGCACAGAAGTCTATTCAAGTGCTGGCACCGAAGTGTGTTAGCCGAGAAGACACTTGAGAGGTGGCGATATTTGCTCTAGCATTAAGATGCCTTGTCAGCCCCGTTGTCCAGAAGGAAACCTTGCAACAAGCACCACCCTCTAATCGCGGTATTCCTGCAAACAATGAGCGATCCCTCGGTCACTTCTGAACAAGCTTGGTCCCCATCCAGTCAGTCGACTCAGTCCGCCAGTTTGGTTCTGCATAAAAACCTCATTTGATATTCAGCCAAACCTAGTTGTCTTACAGAGGCTACACTCCAACTGGTTCCGGAGCCGTCGACCCTCTTCGTCTTCCGACACTCGACGAAGAGATGGGGCTGACGACTAGTATTATTATTGATTAGATTTTATCATTGTGCCGCCACTAATAGAGATTATTATTTACAATTATCACTTATTATCATCAAGTATTCCTACTAATTATCACTGCTTTACTTTCTTACTCACATTCGTCGCTTTTCCTTAGGAATTAGATGGCCTTTGGAAATACGAAACACTATCAGAAAAATAATCGGCAATGTGTAGAGGGAGCCACACCCTTAATATGAGTCCCTCCCACACTGGAAGGTTACTATTGATGGGATTTCCCATATGATACTCCCCGAAGTAATGTTTTACGAGCACATTACAGAATATAGGTTTACTGTTTGTTCCATGACCAGGTGGAGTTCTGCCGCAGGGACAAATTTCGCAAGATACGCTCCCCTTACCTCTGGTACGATCCTCCTCCTGCTCTGTCCCTTTGCTATCTACTTATCTTTATTTGCTATCTTCTTCAGATTTAACGACTCTTCACCGCTATTCTATGCTTTTTTCACAGAAATCTTCAGTTTTCCTCCAAATAAACTGCAGTCAAGCGAATTTGGTCCGCATTCAGAGTAGGAAAGACCGAGTAAAGTCAACAACAGGGAACATATTCCTGAGAGTCAATCACGACCCCCTCCGTCCGCCTCCCATCCGCCTCGCTGGGGATCCTTAATGAACGACTCTGCTCATCATAACAACAGACGGCAAAATCAATTCCGCTGAAATTTTCAGCAGTTATGAAGTCCATGAAGACAAAATTTTTCTCAGACTTTGGTACTCCACATAGTTGCCAATCAACTCGCTCGCTGGGGAGAGGGATCGAATTTGGCTTCCAAGACTGGAGCTAGAGTTTTGAAGGCGAGCAGTGCTTTTTACCGTTCCCAATGCAGTGTACTCCTTCCCAACTCGTATAAGGTTATCCTGCCCAACGGGCAACCCTTCTGTAGTGTAGTAGGCAGTAAATGCCACCCCCAACTTGTAATCTAGTCTCACTTTATGCAATTCAATCCCAATAGACTCCAAATAAAGGTTTTTCAGTAAATGAAACAAATTCTGGCGCTGTTTGCGACGGTGGGAGGGGGGGGGGGCATTTTGCACTTTAACGACTTCCCATCGACGTGTCGACCCATCTAGACAGCCTCTTCTCGAGTTGACAGGTTTTACCATGATGGCTTGACCTTGCTCCAGCTTCACAAGAGTTCACAGGTTTCACCAGAGTGAGACTTGTAAACCAGAACTAGTGAAGCAACGAAAGTGCAAAATGCCCCCCCCGTCGGCAAACTGCGCACGGGGGGGGGCATTTTGCTGATGGACTTGGCACTGAATGTATATGACCCCTTAGCCGACCCTGGCAAGGATCCCAAAAACAGCAGTTCGACGATAAATGTTCAACCAATGCTGGCGAAACTCGACCACATTAGGCTTACGATCAAGTATGATTTCGTTAAGAGCAAGCCAATTTTGAAGAGTTCTGAAAGGCGAAAGATTTGCACCAACTGCTTGGTAGGCGTTATCTATCCCCAAAATATACAAGTCCTCATCATCAAGAACAAATAAGATTAACGGGCTTCCTAGAGTGACGATCTCAAAATTGAGTCTACTGGGTGTATGACAGAAACCGTCTGATTTTGAAGCACAACTGATATCAATGGGAAACCTCTGGAAGGCTCTTGATGGATTCCATGTTGATTGTATGGGTAGGCCTTTGGACGTTCCTTGGAAAGAAGCTCCCAATGGATGGGCCCCCGTAGCGCCAAATGTGGCGAGTGATATGTGGCCCTCAAGTGAGGTTTTCGCCAGGTCAGGAATCACCAATATGTTGAACACGCTTTTGTAATACAAATGTTGAGTGCTCGGGATAGGATAAGAATCAATAGTAACCTGAGCTCGGAAACCTTTTGACTTGCCTGGAAGACTGACATAGCTCCCCCAATGTCACGAGAATTTACTGACACAGATCTCAATACAGCACATGAGAAACATGTTAGTAGAACCACAGTTGGGGCGAAACTAATGTCCGTGTACGCTCAGGGTAAAATCCTCTCCCCTCTCTCCCCTCCCCCTAGAGTGAGCAACCCAGAAATCAAGAAATACCGGTTGTGGGTCAAATCTCTCAGATGGTCCGTCCCCCACTGGCTCCTTTCGTGCACAAAATGGACTCTGCTGCAGCTTGCTGAGACCTTCGAATGAGGCGAGGAGACTTAAGCCTAAACGCTCCTCAGAAAGATTCTGGAAAGCATTGGAACTGTTCCAGGTGACGTCACCAAACAACTGGTTAAAGAGTACTAGGACCAATATCAATTTCCTAGCCGATATCTTGTGTAGAGCTAGCGTAAGTGGCAACAAGAATCTTCGAAGCTTACAAGTGAGCGAGAGAAGATAGTCTCGTTTCAGCAATATGGCCTTACTGTCGGAATTTACACGAATTTTTACGATTGGTCTCAAATCACGGATGGAGCGACGATCGATAACGCAATGCTCTGGTGAGTACCCATATTGACAATTCTGATTCTATTGTCGTAATGTGGCAGCCGTATGGGAGGAAGTCGGAAGAAGTCGCGTCTTCGGATTCTCGCTCGGAGACGAATTTTTGCTCTGACCAGCCTATGGTCGCTCCCAGTGCGGAATGCATCCACCACGCTGACGTCGAGCAGACTCCACTTCCTGTTAGTGAGAACGTGGTCGATTTCGCTGTGAGTCGTTGGCATTCGGACTCTCCCACGTCCATCG